ATATTTATTCTATGGACATAGTTACTTTGCGTTTGTAGCAATTAGTATTACACCGTGATTACGCCCGTACGTGTGACTTTTTGCGTAATAGTTTCATTTTACAAGTAAATCCAAACATTATGGCGACTAAAAAAGAACAATTTGTGATGAACATCATTTTTTTTAATAATTTTTTGGTTGATTTATACTTTTTCATCGAAATCAAAGGTAAGCCATGATATTTAATTTGTTAAAAAATTAATTTTTTTCTTAAAAGCAATTTTTTTCAGTAACATTCGTATATTTTTACACTCATATTTCTATATAAAATAATCAAATATAATAGCAATACAATTATTAGTATATATCATATGTAAAAAATTGATTTTAATGTGGCCCTTGATAAACATTTGAAAAAAAAAATATGGCCCGCGTGATTCAAAAGGTTGCCGACCCCTGATCTAGATAAATAAATACGAGAATATTTATTCAAAAAATTCGAAAAATTGAACTTAAAAGTTAAAAACTAATAAAAATTTAAAATCAATGAAAACTTTTTTAATATTATTAATTTATTGACTTTATAATTATTTACTAATATTTTAAAAGTTTTGTTACTGCAATATATGTTTAGTTATATTATTTAAATTGTACCTATAAGTATTATTTTTAAGAATTGTTTACATATTATTTAATAAATACTATTCAATTTATATTTTCTAGTAACTTACAATATTTGATTCCTAAAAAAGAGAATTAAATAATACAGATAATGGTTAAATTAACTTTTTAATATTTTAACCATAAATATTATTCCATAATAAGTGTTATATAAATTGTAATAAATTGTTTTATAAAATGATATATACCTACAAAGAATGTATTATTGTTTTTGAAACTAAGTACTTAATGCATAAATGTACATAATATAAATATTTTTGTTTATTATTTATATTAGAGGTACCAATTAGATCAAAATTAAGTTAATTTGAATTTAATTTAATTTTTAAATATAAATTTATAAAAAAAAGTGTAAATTAATTAAGAAAATAAAAAAATATTATCTTTTTTTTATCCAGAAAAATAGTGTTTTATCTTATATCTTTATCTAGATACATTTTTAGTTATCTTTGTGCAATACTGATCGTCTTGTTGGTTAGGTTATTATTAACCTAACTGTGGTGCTTACAAAATTCACTTGATCAAATTAAAATCGACTATGAATAAGATTATTAAATTTTTTTTAAAACTTCCTATTCTTACTTGTACTACATTTATTTATAATGACTTCGATAAACTTCTTATTAAATGTACCTTGCTATTAAGTTTTAAACATGTACCAACCACCTTGTAATCATGATTACAAAACGAGATTTAGGAAAAATATAAATGTAGGTAACTATTCTAAAATGTAACAAACAATTTAGAGATAAATGTTACTTAAATCGAGCACTTTCACTATATAATAGAATGTCAATTAATATTAATAATTTCAGTAATTATAAGCATTTTAAATATTATATAATGAATCAGATGAGTTTATTATAACGATTTGAATTCGATAAACAAAATTTATATTTTGTTTTGTTTTCTCTTTTTATAATAATTCAATATTAGAACTGATCGGTGTAAACTTTAGATATTAAGATATTATGAACTCACCACCTTCAACACAAGTAATTGCTTAAAGGTGTCAAACAAATGTAACTATCACTTTATTGTATATATTCACTGTTTGTTTGTAAATAAATAAATAAATATCAAATATCAAATAACATAATAAATTTTTTATTTATTGATATTTTTTTCTTTATTAGAAATATTATTAATTTTTAACTTTTTAGTTTACTTGCATAATTATATAACTTATGTCATGTACAAATATATTTAGTTACAATTGAAAATGTAATAATTTTAGTTTTTTTTTTTTTAATTAATTTTATAATGTTTGTAAAAAATAAAATGTGAATCATTATTAAATATTTACTTTTACACAAACATTAATTAAAATCTTGACCATAGGCTAAATAAATAGTTATCACTGATTACCGAAATCAAATATAAAAGTTTGATTACTTTGTATATAACAGAAAATATTAATTTCTCTTCATCAAAAGTGATAGAACATATATCATTCTTCTTCGAATTTTGATTTAATTTTGGATAATAAATTCCGCACGGTTAATTTCCGACAATTATTCCGTGGATTAAACAAAATTGTTGAAATAACAATAAATTCTCGACGAATTACGTTTTGATAATTTTACACGTCCACTCATGAAAGACACAGATTTATTTATTTAAAATACGAGCGCAGAATTATTATTTTTATAATATATCCGTTATTTAGAAACTGATATGGCGGTGCTGATTTACCGAACTGATAATACTGGTTCGTATATTTCCCTTGAAATCATATTTTGAAAAACATTCAGGTACACTTATGCACAATACATTAACCTTGTTTGAGTCTATATTTAAAATTGTTATTTATGTCCACATACGCAGATCCTGCGTAATCGTCATATAACGAATTCAAACATATTAAATTTGTTTGGGACTGTCAACCATAAATAACTTGTACATTAACCAAATAAAGTACGAGTATAAAACAAAGAATTTATAACAAACAAGAACAGTACATATACAATAACAATAGGTAATACAATGGTCATACATTTGAGACAATAATGTATATTTTATCTGGCTTAAGTAAGGTTACATTATCACCTAATCTATACGACCTACGTTTCACACTTGACCCACGTAATGTCATGCATTGATATACGTGTGTGTATGTGCATTAGATGGTTCTTACTTACAGGGTTAACTTTTTTAACTTGAATGGTTATGTTAGAGAACTTAAATCGATTTTCAACTATTATAAAAACGTATATTTTAAATACTTATCTGCTTCGGACAGACTGTGCAATCATTTTTTAAATGAGTTTATATACTCGTAAGATAAACGTAAATAGATAAACGATTTATATATCATACATGGTGACATTTTATTAATGTCTAGAGTACCTCCTTATTATTAATTTTTTAACTTTTTTTTTTTTTTTTTTTTACAAAAAAATTATAAACTAAAAGAATATATAAAATCTAAAATCTGTTTTTGTGTGTACATTATGTATGGTCTACAATACAATAAACACTACACCTAAAGAAAAATATTTGACAAACCAACAAATAGTGACGACCATTTCCTTGATTAAAATTTAAACCATCAACATGCTTTATTCATCTACTGTAATATTTCAAGCCCAGAGAAAAATTTTCGAGTTGATTTTTGGATTAACGGTATTGTATATTTTTAAAAATATACTACTAAATACACTTGTAACGGAGCGAACAATAAATAAGGAAAAGTAAGCAAACAGCTATACGAACATTCATTTTACCATGTTAATTAATTCAATGAGTAAAACGATACGGTAAGTATAACTATAGGTGGTTTTTATTTCAAGGGGATGATCAAGGATGGGTAACCTACTCCCTACCGATGAAAAATAACTACCTTCCCCATTAAAAACATGTAGACTACATAATATATATTATGTATTTTTTCATATTTCATACCATATTATGGTATGAAATATGAAAAAATTTAAAAAAAAAACTGGTAAATTAATAAATGTGTATACCATACTTAATATGTATACCAGTTTTAACGGCTATAACAGAGTTATTAATAGAGTTAAGAAATTTATTTAAATACCATGAATAAGATAATGAACAATATAAGAAGCCAAATGGGACAAAAAAACGCTGAAATACTGCCTGAAAATTAGTGTAGATGAATTTTCTTTAAAACTCGATGAAGATATTGTGAATGAAGTAATTGACTTATATGCACGTCAAAAATGGCACCGAATTCGTAATAATTATTAATTTTTTTTTAAGAATTATTTATTCCTATGGTATACTACTGTGAAAATTTATGATCCCCTCTCCACTCTTGGATAGAATTTTAATGAACACTGACTATAAACAAAAGGCCGACCTCATAAAGTTAAATGGAAAAATAGAAATTGTTTTTATTTATTAAAATTGTTTAATTGAAATGAGAAAAAAAAATAGACGGGACATGAAATAATTGGTGTATGAATTCTTGCCTGCCACGCTTATTCACTTTAGCGTAGAACAGCTTTCATTACAATTGAGATTTTATAAAAAAAGAATTTTGAAATTGCTTTGTAAAAAAAAATTGTAAGAGTCACATAACTGATCATTGTAATGATTATAGCTTTTCCCCGATCGTTACGAATCGAAAATCAATCAAGGAAGTTTCTGATAAAAATACATAAATTAACAGTAGAAATTGGAAAGTTTTGAAATCAGAAGTTAATTTCTTGAAAAACGGTTCAATATACTCAAGGCGGAAATGTAAAATATTTTGCTTTTACATTTAATACATTATATACATTTTTTATTCTTTTTTAATGTTTATGATATAAAATTCAATTAATCTGTCAGCTGGTATACCTGTATGTTAATATTTAATCATTCAATTACAGTCATGACAATATCAAAATAAATACTAAGATTATGTATTACAGTATTAAGTCACTTGCAAGCCAAAGACCGTGCGGAGTAATATAACACATTATGCGCTTTGTTTATGATTTTTATTTTTTTCCAAACACGGCCATTAATCATATTTTTCATATTTAAATATATAGCACGCCTCCAACATATGTTATTCGATGAAATGAACAGCTTACTTTAAATATTAGTTTACTCTACATACTGAGTATTATTACAATATATATTTTTTACGTAAGACACGATAAATTCAACACTATAGTTATTCAATTAAATTCAGTTACAAATTGCGTATGGTGAAACATTTCCTATTTCATATTTCGAGTTATAGTAACTTTTCCCATGTCCCCCAAATAATAATTATATGGAACTTAGTTAATTTTAAGTTATAGTCCTAATTTTTTTTTTTTTTTTTTAAGAAACACGATATTTTGTTCCTTGACTGTAGAATAATGTTTAAATACACTCACGTGAATATAGGTTCACCAGCAGTGGACGAAGACGATGCTCCGGTTTGCTCGAAGATTGGATCATCTGAGTGGTTTTCCTTTTGTTCTTTGAACCACATGACCATGAAAAATCCGGCAGAATCGACAGACGTACTAGTGTCTTGGCCGGCATACCGCGTGTCACACGGCAGATATGCTTTTCCTCCAACCGGAATGGCCACTTGGTCGATAGGAACTGCAACACATAATTACGATGTGAATTATTAACATAAATTAAACCAGTATTTATAAAACAATAATGCACACAGAACATACAACGCGTGCTATGTAATTTAACAGGTACGCTGTCAAGAGTGTCTAACCACGGACCAATACGTGATGTCTATTTACGTGCCCATACTCTGATCAAGGCTTTTAAAAGTGATATACAAGATGCAAACTTCTTCTTCCCAACAGCTTAACGGTCCATGTAGGTCAATCGCTGCCACCATTATCTCATTCCATCGGATCTTATCATTCGCATCTTCCATTTTTACGTTTTCATGAATCATTTTAAGATCTTTTCCTACTACATCCTTCCATCTTGTTCGGGGTCTTCTTACAGGTTTTTTCTTCACAATTCTTCCTTCCGTAACTTGTTTTATCATTTTTCCTTCTGCCCTCCAAACATGTCCAGCCCATTCTATCCTCTTGCTTCTGCTAAACGATAGTATATTTGGTTTTCATTATAAACTTTGTAAGTCATTATTGTGTCTTCTTTCGTATGTTTTCATTTCTCTATTACAGACTGGGCCGAATATTTTTCTGAGCACTCTTCTTTCTGTTGTACATAACTTAGTTTAATCGCCTTTTGTAGTAGTCCACATCTATATATCAACACTGGTCTCAAGTAACTTGTGTATAGAGTTACCTTCGATTCTCTCGATAATAGATTCGATCTGAATAATTTTAGTAGACTATAATAACATCGGTTCGCGATAGCTTCGCCACCAGTAAAGATTTATGTTTTTATAACACCATGTCAAGAATATTTCTTGATCTTTCTAAGATACTCGATTTTTATCGTACACAATATACAAAGAAATCTTTAATACAGCGCATAAAGTTAAACGAAATACGAATAAATAAATTATCTGCATAATGCTTTATGGTGAAAATCATTGTTAAAAAAATATAATTGAATTAAAAAAAAAAAAAAATTAATTGAAATTAATACGTCTTTGAAAACATTAATAACAAATTAGAGAACTTTTCAAATGTTATCAAATGTTTTAATTTTTAATAGGATATAAATAAATCGATATTTCATATATTTAGATAAAGATAATAGATAATAGTTTTTTTTTATAAAATCCTAATTTTATAAAAAAAAAACTATTTTATCAAGATGTAAAAAAATACCATAATTTCTAACAATTTCTAAACTAAAATAGTGTATTTTTACTAAAAATCACATATTTAAAATAAAATAATAAACGCGTAATCCAAAATAAAAAATATTTAGGTTCATTATTTATGTAATAATAGAACAATTTAATTTTTTTGATAATTTTCTAGTTTCTTATGCAACTAAAAACTGTCTAAAATCCCAAAGCTATTTTATACTCTTTCTTCAATTTATGCATCAAAAGGAATGTACATAATTTGTAGGGCATTTCTTCTACCAAAGAATTGTACACATGTGGAATTGTAATTAACATATTTTAACTTGATATTTTACAGCGTAACTTACGATAATATTTTTAAACTCTCATTGCGGGTAATAAAAATATAACAAAGGAATTTTCCATATAATTAATGAAGTACAAAACATTTAATTTCGTGTATAATTACTCCGAAGAAGAAAAACAAGAAAATATTCACTCGATGCATTTTATACTTCTCATACAAACTTCTTGTAGCCGATATAATTTTAGCATGAATTTAAGTTATATACAACTATTAGTAAATATTGCATGAATAAATTACAAATATTTAAATTAATTTTTTGATATTGAAATTATGTTGACATCCCCTCAATGTTTAATTTATATTTTATATAGCTTAAAATAAATTAGATTTACAAAATGGCGGTAAAAGAAGAGTTATTGAATGATATATTGATAAAACTATAACAGTATACCATTTCAAAATAATTATAACACGTAAGAGGTACACGAGAGACAATGATAAAATGTTCTACAGGCGTCTTTTTTCAAAAATATTGTAAAATAATATTTTCTCCAAACAAAATATTTCACATTGTTATTAATGGCAGCGAAAATTGCAATGTACGGGCATACAATTACTAAGCATATTATATTTAAGCTATGTAAGGTATTCCTATACGTAGTACTTCAACCTAAAATTAATCTTTATTTTTTATAAACATATATTTTTAGCAGTAAAATTAAACATGTTACTAAAGATTACAACGGTAAACGCTTTATTTTTAATTGAACTTATTTTATTATTTTTTTTTTTTTTTTTGCGTTAGATATATAATATAGATTAAGTGCCCTTTAAATTGGTACTAAATTAATTCAACTCAATCAATAAATGCCAAAACAATAGAGTAAATAAACAATTAAATTAATTTTAGTTATGAAACATTGGAATGAAAAAGTTATGCGATTAATGACAGAAAACACTTATTGGATGAGTAAAAGTGTCACTAAAGTTTCACACGAGTACATATATTTATTATATAGGTATACGTAGCAGATGTACACAAAAATATAATTGACGGTCGTTATTAACTAAGATAAGAAACTGAGTTGTACAGATGGTTATAAAATATCCTGATAGTTACAGAAACATAGAAAAACGATTCAATATTATATTATTGAAACATTAGCAATATTAAAAAAAAAAAAAAAAACAATTAACTATAGAAAAACAAAAAAAAATTGTGAAATTAAATTGCAAAGGTTTTTGACATTTTTAAAGAAAATACTTGGTGTAACATAATTAAATGATTTGAAGAAATCATTGATATTTTTTAAACACATTTTTCCTGAAAAAAAATTAATATATTTTTAACCATGATTACAATAAGAATATTGAATTAAAATATTTATTACGATATAAACTTAAAACATATAGAAAAATGACCAAAAGAGTTTAATCAAGATAATACGAATTGTTTACTCCCGTTGTTAATAAAATTTTAGAAATTAAAAAACACATTACAATAAGAGTGTTGAACATAAACATTTATTTGAGACTGTTTAAACATATTTTTAATAAAGAAAATGAAATTTATATTCTATACCCTGTGTTTCTAAGCTTGAAAATTAAATGCTTAAATGTTCACTGAATTAAATATTTTAAAATTCAAAGTCAAAATAAGCCGTCTTTGAAAATGAATCTTCTTGGAAAGAATGTTATTAATATTATGAAAGTATTGTCTATGCTTGCAATTTGGTTGTTACGTTATATTCTTTGAGTTTTAACTATATATTTCAATCAAAAATATATTTACAAAATTCTTCTGACTTGATAAATACTTAATGTTCATAGTTATATTTTTTTCATATGGTTGTTCAAATAAATCATCTATTCTCGTGCATAATTAAAATAATCTTAGTAAAATATTAAATTTCTATTGTTGTATTCCAGGCATTTACGATTCTTACAATAAATGTTATTAAAATGCAAAATATTAAACACTAAATAACCAAACAAACTATTTCATAATAGTATTAAATAATTTTATGTATTTTAATTATAATTAAAAAATAAAATATAAATCCTCATAAATTCATTCGAACAATAATGATACATTAGCCTGTTTAATTAACTAATTCTTCGGCCCTAAATCAATTATAAGTGTTTGCCATGTTCCTAGTTACGCTTTTGCGGTTAACACACTATTTTAAGCAATTTACATTAATTACGTGCACATATCATCATCAAATTATATGCAAAGAAGATGAAATTTAGTAAATAATCAAACATTATAGATGATAGGTTCTTGACCTTTTTTCGACTTACGGAATCCTAAGCGAGGCGATACCGAACCAACAAAACACATGCAATATGGAAATAAAAATCGATTAAACGATTTAACACAAACGCTATATATTTCATAAAATAATGTTTTTTTTTCAATTGTGAAAATATATATGACTACTTTATATTTGAAATAATTTCACAGCACTTTAAATTCAGTTCATTCAAATTTCATAGATACAACATGTTTACAACGTTGAACAAGATAGCGTGTCTAGCGAGTAGGTCTGGTAGGCATGGGCCTACCCTAATTTTGAACCCAAAATATGCATTTTGAAATAAAAATTAAGTTATTTACATCGAACATTGAATGTGAAATGTGAATAAAACGGCAAAGGTATCCGTATGGCCTTATATCGATCGTATTTTATGCCTTGAACAGTTAATAAACTTAAAATGTTGCTAATTATTTTCGAGTAACAAATTATTTGATAGTTTACCTATCATCTATAATGATAAAAAAAAATCGTGGACAATGTTATGTTTTATATACCTATATCTATAGGGCTATTAGTTCCAGAACATATATTTTTAATATTAAAAAAAAAAAAACACACATTTCAATTATACTTAAAATAACTGTAGTCGCCATTTTTCGTTTTTAAAATAATTGTCGATGCAGATGGTTTGATTTTTTTTCATAACGTATTTTCGAGTCAATAACTATCAAAAATATAAGTTCTATATTTTTTTTAATGTTAACTTTTATGATAATGTAGAAGCTCATGATTATAACCTATTTCTTCAAAATAATACAATTTAAATGTTCAGAATTTATGTATTTACATAACATGAAAAACCTAAAAATGGTTTTTTTCTTTGCTTAGAATTTAATATTTTTGAGCAATTAAAATTAATTGCTCAAAAATAAGAAAACTCATTCAGAACATGCTGTCAAAATGTATCTTGTTATAATATTCTACTGTAATGATAGCCACTCTTTGTAATTAATATTAAAATTAATGTCATCATAATTCCTAATAAATGTGTTATAATATAATGTATACAGTCATACAGATATTTGTATTATAATATAGACATCTGTGGTCATATAGTATTTTCTTGTCTAAACAAATCTGCTCTATCGCCTCGGACGACACCCATTGACCAACGACCAGATTTTTCACTACGACACTCACATGGCGTACGACATCGATGGCAGTCGTTTTTATGGCGTTATAATATATAATAAATGTATCATAATGTTTTGTGTGTATTAAATAATAAATATACCATCTAAAT